ACCATCCACCTTACTCACCAGATCTAGCCCCAAGCGACTTCTTTTTGTTCCCTCATCTAAAAATTGCGCTCGGAGGACAGAGATTTTCGTCAAATGAAGAGGCAATCACCTTCGTGAACAATTATTTTGCAGAGAAAAACGCCGAGTACTATTTCGACGGGTTACAGAGATGGGAGCATCGCTGGGAGAAGTGTGTAGATTTACAAGGAGACTATGTTGAAAAATAAAAAACAATTTTCAGAAAAAATGACTTGTATCTTTGTTAGGTCGGAAACTTTTCAGACCACCCTCGTATATGTATATATAAAGTGTAGTAAAAAGAAATCCATTATTTTTGCATGAAATTGAAGGCTTTATTTAGCATAATTAGAATGATCCGATTTAGGTCAAATATGCACCGTCTTGTTCGATAACTTGTTGCCATTTTGAAGGTAATTCCATTATACCTCTCTCATAGAAACTCTTGTCCCTATTGGCAAAAAACTGGGACAGTCCATTTTTACAAGCTTCTTTTGAGGCGAATTTTTCACCAGCAAAATCATTCGCCATAGACAGGAACAGGTGGTAATTGGTGGTAACAGGTGCCCAACTTGGGGGTTAACACCTCGAAGTGTGTCTCGAGCCCCCAAGTGCCATCCAGGGTAAGCCCGAGATACTTCATCTCGGTGCCCACCCTCACGGAGATCCCACCAACCCGGAGCTTCAGCCGAGGCGGTCACCCCTTACTCCCATCATGGAATCATATCATGGAAGAATAGCACTTACGTTTTCAGGGGAGACACCTCGAGGCCTGTGCTCCGGATGGAGTGCACCACCTAGTCGAGGGCTAGTTGCCCCAGATCCCTAGCTTGTTTCCAGCCCCGTCCCCCGGCCACCACCAGTGTGTCGTCCGCGTAGCAGACGACACGGCAGCCGGGGGTGAGGGCAGTTCGGAGAACATGGTCGTATGCGATGTTCCACAATAAGGGGCCGATTACTGACCCCTGTGAAACACCGCAATACACTTCCCTTCCGGATTGGAGTCCCGCGCTATTGCGGAACTCCAATTGCCTGTCCCGGAAATAGTCCCTAACGATGTGGACCAGGTAGGGCGGGAACCTGAAGTAGCCATCCCCGCCTCTATCCGGTCCCAGAGGAGGGTATTAAAGGCGTTAGCTATATCAATTGATATAGCCAACACCACCCCCTCCCTTCCCTCACGATGGCTTCCGAGAGGGCCCTGACACGTTTAATCGTGTCTACGGTTGATCGGCCCTCTCGGAAGCCAAATTGCGCGCCATCTAGCGCGGGACTATCCCAGGACAGGTGCCGGACAAGGCGGGCTTGTATGATCCTCTCAAACATTTTGCCCGCCTCGTCTAATAGACACAACGATCTATATGAGGAAGGGGTGTTCTCTGGCTTGCCCTCCTTGCGTAAGAGGACCAATCTGGTCCTTTTCGACGGTGCCGAAAACAGGCCAGCTTCGTGGATAATAAAAATCATTTTTTTTTTTTTTTGTAAGGCAGGGGAAATGCATTACGCCCCCCCCCCCCGGGGGTTGACGACCCCCCGGGAGATAGTGTGGGACTCTTCTCCCCCCGGAGCTAATTGCCAAGGGGGGCCTACCCACTATAATCCCTGCCGGGTCCCTTCCTCGGCGGCCTTAACTAGGGTGCCCTGGGAAGCTTTACACATCCTTCCGGAGCGTCCCCAGCCGCCAGAGACTCACGCCGTCCGTTCTCGGACCGGAGGGTAGGTGTCGCCAAGGATGACGACACCAACGACCCCTCCATCCGCTCCATTGAGGTGCGGTGGGGGAGTATACTCCCTCTGGCCGTTTCCGTCGCGTAGCCGCGCGGCCTATTCCCTCTTGAGGTAAGGCGGGGCCGGTTCGCCACCCGGTCACCCGCCCCTTATGTCGTGTGTCCCGGCCGACTTATAGGGGGGAGGAGCAGGCTTACAGCGGCCCCCTCCCCCCCGCGGTCAGGACCCTATCCCGAGAGAGGGGGGAGGCGGCATCGAGTGCGCCCGCAATGCCCCCCCCCCCGAAGGGAGGGCGCGCACCGCCGCCACCCCACCCCTTCTCTCCC